AGGTGTCACCAACTCAGACCTACACTCTACCAAGGAGTCGGGAAGCCAAAAGCAAACACTGTTAAGGCCATTTACAGCTATCACCCTTGAAAGAAAATTGGAATCTTTAGAAAGAATTGCCATAAAAACCAATTACTCAGAAATGACTATTACCCAAAATAATGCACATTATCACATGTTCATATATCGCTTTTTTTCCCCTTCAGACAATCTTGTAGTCATTCTGTGTTTAATTTCCGTCTTCTCCAGTCTAACTTTAAAAAAAAGATAGAAATACAAATTGAGTTTGGTTTCATAAGATAAACTCCACTTGGGAAGGTGTTAAAGGGACACAATTCAAAGAAGGTCTGAATAAAGTTATATCAACCACATAGGATTCTTTGAGGTTTCCAAAGAAGATGTACCAATTTACATTCCAATAAGAGGTGTATGAGAGTTTTGGTTGAAATTTTCTCTCTCTCGCTCTCTCTGTAGATGAGTTTTTCACTCTACACATAGTTTCTCTTGATAAACTGAAGTTCTTAAGTCACAATCATTCCATTTTTCCCCCATTTTGGTTAGTATTTTGTATTTTGGTGTCCGCTTTAGGAAATCCTTGCCTACTTCAAAATAATCATGTTTTCTTATATTTCCTTCTAAAATCTTTATATTTTCCATTTTTCACACTTAGACTTAACAATCTAACTGGAATTAATTCTTTGTAGGTGATGTGAGGAAGAAGTCAAGTTTCATTTTTCCAAATGATTATTCAATTAACCCAATACTATTTGTTAAGTGGTAATACTTTTGCCACCACTGTATAATATCACTTTTGTCATAAATCAGTCATTATACATGGTGGGCCTTTTTTCCTGGATCTCCGTTCTGTTATGTTGTTCTGTTCTGTCCATTCTTGCACCGATAATAGATTGTTTTACTACAGCATCATACTCATTCTTAATAGCTGGTAAAATAATTTCTCAAGCTTTGTTCCTTTTTATCAAGTGATCTTGAGTACTCTTGACACTTTTCTTCACATACATTTTAGAATCAGCTTGTTAAATTCTTCAAGAAAAAGAAAACAGCTGCTCTGATTTTTTTTTCTTTGTTTCCAACCGACTTAAGTGCATCACAGAACAAAGTTAAAAATATTAATAGAAATATGAAAATGTCTAGCACCCAAAAATATAAAATACAAAATATCTGACATCAATCAAAAATTGCATACATGCAAAGAAGCATGAAAATAAGATCCATAATGAAGAGAAGAATTAATCAATAGGAACCAACCCAGAAATGACAAATCGGCAGACGGAGATAGTAAAACAGTTATTATAACTCTGGCCTGTAAGTTCAAAGTTTTGTAGAGATGGGGAAGGCATAATGAAATCCAAAGCTTCCAGAGATAAAAATTACAATGTCCGTGATGAAAAATACACTGGATGAAATTAACGTCAGATTAGACGTTACAGGATAAAAAATAAACTTGAAGAAGTAACATAATTCTTAATGAAATATAGAGAATAAGAGGATCATCAGTAAACTGCGGGACAACTTTAAGTAGCTTAATATGTAATTAGAATCCCAAAAGCAAATTTTTAAACTTAAATTTCTTTAAAGGATAATTGGCTATTTACACTGAAACAATTTCAACAAAGTGCAGGGATTCTAATATATGCAAAATAAATCTATAACAAGACCAGCATAAAGACAGGTGAAGAATAAATGAACACATATATCATTGGAAGATTTCTATAATCCGAGTGAAGTCACTTGAAGGTAGACTGTGTTACAGTAGATGTATACTGCAAATTACAGAGCAACCACTAAGACAACAAAACAGAGCATTATAGTTAATAAGCCAACAAAAAAATACAAAATTGTAAAAATGCTCAATTAATCTACAAAAACAACATAAAAGGAAAAAAGGAACAAAAAAGAGATGGGATTGATAGAAAACAAATATACGATGATAGACATAAAAGTAACCACAACAACAATCACATCAAATCTAAGTCATCTAAGAGCACAGATTGTACAATTGAAAAATATTGTATAGGGCCGGGCGTGGTGGCTCAAGCCTGTAATCCCAGCACTTTGGGAGGCCGAGGTGGGTGGATCACGAGGTCAAGAGATCAAGACCATCCTGGTCAACATGGTGAAACCCCGTCTCTACTAAAAATACAAAAAAATAACTGGGCATGGTGGCACATGCCTGTAATCCCAGTTACTCAGGAGGCTGAGGCAGGAGAATTGCCTGAACCCAGGAGGCAGAGGTTGCGGTGAGCCGAGATCGCGCCATTGCACTCCAGCCTGGGTAACAAGAGCAAAACTCCGTCCCAAAAAAAAGAAAAATATTGAATAATATTGAAAGAAAAAACTATGTGCTACTTATCAGAATACTACTAAGACTCAGAATGTAAAAACATTAAAGGATGGAAAAAGATATACTACACTAACACAAATTAAAGGAAAGCTAGAGTTGTTATGTTAATATCAAATAAAATAAATTTCAAGCAGATAATATCATCTGGGATAATGAAAGTCATATCTCAATGACAAAAGTATTGGTCTATCAAGAAGCCATAACAATCAAATATTTATGTATCTGAAAATGGATCTTCAAAATACCAAGGCAAAAACAGAACTGCAAGGAGAAATAGACAAATCCACAATTATAATCAGAGATTTCAATATCCCTCTTTTACTAACTGGTTTAACAAGTTGACAAAAACAAAAGACCAGTGAGGATACAGAAGATATGAATGACGCCAACAACCAACTTGACTTAACTGATGTTTACAGAACACTTCATCCAAGAGCAGCAGAATACATGTTCTTTTGGAGTGTGCACTGACTGTGTGCGGGCATGGACTACACACTCTGGGTTGTAAAACAAACATCCGTACATTAAAAGTATTCAAGTCAAACCAAGTATTTTCACTGACCACAGTGAAACTCCGTTAGAAATCAATAAGAGAAAGATTTCTGGAAAAGTCCAGACTAGTTTAAACTTAGATAATAGTTTTCTAAATAACTCATAAGGCAAATAATAAATCAAAAGATAAAAGATAATTTAGAATTGCTTTAATAGTATCATTGTTTTCTTGCTTGCTACTTTGTTTTTTCTTTTTGACCAAATACTGGTGAGAATGAAGATAAATGAGCCCTTTCTTTTTTTGGGGGGGCGAGTAAATTGTAAAACCCTTTTTGTCTAGTAATTTAGCAACATACATCAAAAGAGTTAATACTGCTAACATTCCTTGACCCAGAATATTTTTAGTTTAATGAATTTATTTTAAGGAAATTGCTATATATGCATAAAATTTTTGAGAATGTTCAAAAGAAAAAAAATATTTTAAACTGAACAAATATAAAACTATATCAAAATTGGTAGGATGCTTCCAAAGCAGGACTTGTGGGAAAACTAGATAATTTTTTATTCACTCTGAGGACAGAACTACACTGATACCAAAATTAGTCTAAGATATTACAAGAAAGAAAGCTACTGACTCATATCTCTCAGGAACACAGATTCAATCATCCTTTTAAAACTCCACCCTAGAGGATCCAACAATATGTAAGAGGAATCATACAACATGGTCAAGTGGGGTTTATCTCAGTAATACAGAGTTGATTTGACATTCAAAAAACAGACTATGTCATTTACCTTATCTGTACGAAAAAAAAGGAAAACTATATGATCACATCTATAGATGACTTAAACATTTGATAAAATTCAATATCCCTTCTTGATGAAAACTGTTATCAAACTCAGAGTAATAAGAAATTTTCTTCACCTAAAAAAGGATATCTGTGAAATCCTATGATTAAATAGAATATTTTTGCAAGTAAACTGTGGTAAGTCAAAGATGCATATTGTAATTCCCAGATCAAATACTAAAAGAAGCAAAAGGAGGATAAAATAGTCTTTTCAGCGAATAGTTCTAGAAAAATGGCATATTAACATGGAAAAATAATGAATCTCTAGCCTTATCTCACTCCTTAAACGAGATGTGGGCAGACTATGGCCTTTGGGCCAAATCTGGCCTCTGTTTTCATATAGCCCAGAAACTAACAATAATTTTACATTTTCAAGTGACTGAAAAAAAATTAAAAGTATTTTGTTACATACGAAAATCTAAGATACTCAAATTTCAGTAAACATAAATGAAGTTCTACGGGATCACGGCCACAGTCATTCACGTATGTATTGTCGACGGTTGCTTTTGCACTACAGTGACAGAGTTGAGTAGTCGGAACAAATACTGCATGGTGCACAAAACTAAAAAATTTATTCTCACCCTCTCCAGAAAAACTGCTGGCCCTTCCCACAAACAATAATTAGTAAGAGACACAAAAAATCCCAAATAATCAAAAAGCTAGAACTCAAAAGCTTCCGGAAGAAAACATAGTGAGCTCTCTTCATGATCATGGGGTAGGCAAAGGTTTCTTAAGGAGGACAAAAGAATGTTCTAACCATAAAAAAAGCAAAATATTCTTTATGCAAGCCCTAAAAAGTTTATCAAAATATATTATTAAGAAAAAATATATGTATATCTGAGAAAGGGCTGAATTCATAATATAAAGAATTCCTACACATCAATCATAAATAAGTCAATTCACTAAAAACAAAAAGTAAAGGCTGACTAGGGTGTTAAAAAAACAAAAGATATATAAGTAGGCAGTTCCCTGTCATGAGACAAATGTGTTTATTTCTCCAGCTTAGAAGATTGTTTCGCTGATAGCATGTCACTGTCAGCAGCCTCTAGGAATTACCTTTGGTTAAAGGGAACACTTTGCCTAGGCAGCTAGCATTTAATGAGTGGCTGCTATCCCCCTTCCTACACCATTATTAGATAAATTTAAAATTTAAATTTAAATTTTAGCAAAATGTTTGCTATATACCTCCCTCACTACCCTGTGCAAAAGTTGAGTATGAGGCAGGCAAACCTGAAATCAGCAAGAGCTATGCTGTATCCTGGCAGATCCTGATGCCTAGTTTAGGAAGCACCCACCATCCCTGGTCAGGGTTCCGTAGAGATTCATCATAGTGACTACACACTGGCCACTTGAGGGCACTGTGGATCCACTGAGTGGGCCACTGATAGCACTGTCTGGGAGAGAGAGGGTTAAGGGAGACTGTCTTGGCTTCCTTTCTGCATCAAGGATATTACTAGATGAACCAGAGGTAGTGCTGGCACAGGAGGAGTTCATCATAGTTTTCTCAGGTCAACCGATATGCACGTGTATTTGCCATGGCAGGAAGCCATCAACTGCAGGCTTGTGTGGCCTCTCTAGGAGCCTACGTTTGATGGGGAGTGTGATGAGGGTTTCAGCAAGGCAGCTTGGATAACCCAAGCAAGCCAGGTGGAGACAAAGGAGCAGCTGCCTCAGATGAAACTCTCAGAAGCTGTGAGAATGGCTGTCTGCCCGGAAGCCTGCCCTACCTCACTCAGTGCAGCCAACTCCCCTGCCTGCAGGAAACTGGACAGGATGGGGGAAAACCTGAGTTAGCTGAGCTAGTCCTGGGGTACAGGGTGCCTATGAGAGCCTACAGGGACGATGACATCAGAACAGTGACATCACAGTAAAACCCTCCAAAAACGGTGGGGAGGAGCAAAAGCCCTGCTTTCTCACCCCAGGAGACCAGCACCCTGAGTAGGGAAATGCCTAGTCCTGTCCTGCCTGACTCTACCAGGGACACCAGGCTCCTCTGCTGTGTCATGCTTTGTCTCCTGGGAACAGGTGAGTCCTGAGCACAGGTGGGACATCCCTGCATCCACAGTGTTCAATCGTTGCTGAAGTGTCAAACTCTCCTGAGCTTCTGTCTCTTTCCTCCACAGGTTCAGTGGCTGCTGGAGTCATCCAGCACCCAAGACACCTGATCAAAGAAAAGAGGGAAACAGCCACTCTGAAATGCTATCCTATCCCTGGACATGACACTGTGTACTGGTACCAGCAGGGTCCAGGTCAGGGCCTCCAGTTCCTCATTTCATATTATGAAAAGATGCAAAGAGATAAAGGAAGCATCCCTGATCGATTCGTAGCTCGACAGTTCAGTGACTATCATTCTGAACTGAACATAAGCTCCTTGGATCTGGGGGACTCAGCCCTGTACCTCTGTGCCAGCAGCTTAGGCACAGCCCTGCAGAGTTACTGGCTTTCTGTACCCAAACCTTCCTGTCTCAGCTGGGGATGCAATAGGAAGAGGAAGGTAGGGGCTGCCACACAGCGTTAGCCAAGCCCCAGGGATGCTTCTAGTTCTTTTCTAACATTTTCCCTGCCCTGCTGAGCTCATGGGAGCTCCTGCACGTGTGGACTCCAGACACACTGGAAATTATCACATCTTTCTAATTCCTTGCAAGTGGCAGGAGCTCCTCCTCTGTGGAACATATGGGTATATGTTTTAGTGTGTTTTCTGTTGCCATATAGAATACCTCAGACTGGTTACTTTATAAAGAATCTAAATTTCTTACAGTTCTGGAGGCTGGGAAGTCCAAGGTCAAGGACCCACATCTTGTGAGGACCTTCTTGCTGGTGAGGACTCTGCAGAGTCCCTGGGTGGCACAGGGCATCCCATATGAGGTGTCTCAGGAGAGATGGCCAAACTGGCTTTTATAACAGATCCACCCTAGCAATAACTAACCCATTCCCTCCATAACCCATTAATCCATGAGTGGATTAATATTCATGAGGGCAGAATCCTTAAGACAATCACTTCCCAAAGGTCCTAACTCTTGATGCTGTATTGGGAACCAGGTTTCCAATATATAATAAATTTTTTAGGGTCACAGTCAAACCATAGCAGTAGACATTGTGTTTTTTTTTTTTTTTTTTTTTTTTTGAGACAGGGTCTTACTCTGTCACCCAGACTGGAGTACAGTGGTGTAATCATGGCTCATCGTAGCCTTGAACTCCTGGGTTCAAGCAATCCTCCTGCCTCAGTCGCCTGAGTAGCTATGACTACAGGGACACATCACTACAAAATGATGTTTCTGGCTATTTTTTTTTATTTTTGTAGCAATAAGGCCTTGTCATGTTGTCCAGATTAGTCTCAAACTCCTCAAATGGTCTTACTGAGTTTGTGTGTTTTAACACAAAGATAGACATTAGCATAACCACTTTATAAATGAAGATTTCAGTGTACCATTTTATAGATAGGAAGCTATAGCTCATAAACTTCTCCCATATTTTGTATTTCTAAGGATCAAAGCCAGGATCCAAACCTATGACTGCATGCCTCCCAAATAAAACTTCTAAAAGTCTATGGTGTTTCCTGGGCCTTGGTCAATGAGCTACAGTAGAGCACTATTCTTCCATCTCAAGACTAGCCCAGGAGTAGAAGAGGGTCACATATTATGGAATGTGGTTACTATGGCTTATGGCCTGCAAACCTCCAGGACATACAACTTCCAGCCGGAGAAGATTCGTTCTGTCTTAGTTCTGGATAGAATGGAGCCACGATATGTCCTAATATAGATGCATAGTGACAAGGGGCATTTCCAGTACACTAGATGGTTCAGTCAAAGAAACAGAACCCTCTAGGAATTTCAAGGAGAATAGCAGTTAATAGAGGGAATGAGTGGTTATAAACCAACGGAAGGCTGAGAAGTGGGAAGGTCTCAGAAGGCTGGAGCTTGCCCTCAGGTCCACCACCAGTGATCAGAAAAGCTGAATTTGCTACTTTTGCCCAGGCCAGGGACTACAGAAAAGAGTTGGGTGTCACAGTGGTCTTGCAGTGACCAAGAGGGTGATTCACAGAAAGTATCCAGAGGTCATTGCAAATCCACTTGTCTGTTGCTGTCCGACAAAAGTCTTCATTCTGCTTCCAACTTTTCCACAAGTATAGCTTATTGGAGGAAGCAAAGCTGTTTTCAGAAACTTGCTCTCAGGAGAATCTGGGAAACATATTTTCAAATCTTCCAGCTCTTACATTAAGAGAAAGAGAGAGATTGTTGGAGGACATTTAAGGATACTCAGTCCCAAAAGACAATTATCAACCTACACAGCACAGAAATGGAAAGCAGGAGAATACATTTTAGATTTTCTGTCATCTTGTTCATGAAAATTTATTATATATAGTTTTATAGTTTGGTTGTTGTTTGCTTGTTAATTTATTCAGTAGATATTCCTGGAATACCTATTATGTTAAAAATTTCCTTAGAATATAGAAAATGAGATGTAATTTTTCGAATTACACATTTTGTCTTTAAGAAGTTTAAAGTCTGGCAAGATAATATATCCCTAATTATTCATACATGCATTTACAATGTATGAAAGTCATTTGAATCAGTCAGTTTTCCAGCAAGGAATAGACGACTACTCAAAAAGGTTGAAGTGACAACAATTTAATCAAAGGACTATGTTCATAGGGGTGAACAGACTTAGGGACACCAAGAACTGTTTGAGGGGCCTGGGGTTTCCAGCACATGGGAAACCAGTACAACTCCTGAGCCTGTGGAGAAAGGGGTGGGAGGGAAATGCTATGTTACTGCTGGTGCATGCAAATAATGAGAAAAGTTTCCAAAGGGAAGAACTCAGGACCAGAAGGTAGGAAGGGAAAGCCCAGATACTCTGAACTCTCCCTTCACTACCCTTCAATGTCCAGCTGGTGTCTTCCATTGGAAAGCCCAGCCGGAAGACTGGATAGCACTCTTTGCTGAAATCAGTCTTCTAGGGCACAGCCCAGGGCAGCACAGGGCAGGGAGGTGAGAGTGGGTTGGGGGAAGCGTTGGGTGCACATGTACCACAACCAGTACAGTAACTACCAAGTGTATGACATGGCCATTTGCAGGTGCATGTGCAAGTACACAGTGGACAGAGACCAATTTAATTCTACCTCTTTTATGTGAACTTATAGAAAATTCCCTTGTTGATTGCTAATAACAACCAGTATTGCTGATCCCATTTTCTCTGGGCCATATACCAAGTATATTAGTTCAATTAATTTCTTAAGAACTTCATAAGGGAGAACAATTTGCTCCCATATGACAGGTAAAAAACCTTTAGAGAATTTAGATGATTTTCCAAAGGAGATACAGCTAACAAATATCAGAAGTTGGACTCACACCTAGGCCATACTGACTTTCGACCTATGGTTGAAGTTACTCTTCCCTATACATTTTGGTAGAGGAAGATACCTTCAACATTGGAAACATTGACCCAAATGTCTCTTTTAGAAACAATGCATCTGACACAAATCACATGAATAACATCTTTCACTTGGGAGGCTACATGTTGAAGAGGAAGATTCTCAGAGATGAGGAGACCTCAGTGGTTCATCTTCTGATCCCTTGGGTTGGTGACTTAAAAAGCATTTGGCTAAGTTTTCTCACTTGTAAACTGAAGCCAATAATATATGTCTTGCAGAAATTTTATACTTGTAAATAAAACAGTCTAATACATAGTATAGGCTCAATACATCTTAGGTCCCTATGAATTCTCTGACAAATCTCTAGTCAGGCAGTTATTTACTTTGTGGACTCTGGTAACAAAGGCAAACACAGATTACTTTTGTCTGATTCACCTATGATTCAGACTCAAAGTCATCTAAAATGCAAATATAGTAGTCTGATAATTCATTGATAAAACTAACATAAACGGTTGTGTCTTAAGAGAAAGTGAAAATGTTGCCCCTTATAGCATTTCCTGCTTGAAGCTGAGTCTGATATGCAAGAAGGTGTGATGCTCCCAGAAAGTTGTCACTTCAGAGCAATTGGCCATTACATAAGAAAGCTGATAGAAGAACGGACGGTTTACTTGGAAAGGAGACCATTATAGAGGAACCTCTAGTGCCTTCCATCACATCCTCACTGCCCACCTCTGATTTCAGCCTCACTGCAGTGGACAGTTATGTGCAAGTCTCCATTCACCTGGTACGGACAGTGCCCCTCCCCAGATGCATGCTGAGAGTCTCCCTGCTTCCCCCGCAGGGCTCTTCTCTGATATTATCTGAGACAACTTGGGTTGTACTCAAAGACAGCCAGAGATCCTAATGCTCCTGGTAGGACAGAATAGGGGACAAAAGCTCCAGCCTGCCCATTCATGCAGACACCCCAGAGAGGCATCCTATGTGTTCTCAAAGGTCCTGATAGATTCCATCTCCTGTTGCTCCAGCATAAACTCAATATTATACCTTTGTCCTGGTTTCCTCTCTCCCTGTTTTATTCTCCCAGCTCTCTTATTATTTCTAATTCCTGAGATCCTTTCCCAGATAAACTACTTTCAACAAAGTCCATGATGCAGACCTTGCTTTCAGGGGCAGCTTAAACTTTGACAGTGTTGGAATGGGATGACCCTCGAAGACACTTCTCTTTGAAAAAGACAACGATTTTCTTTCATTCATTCAGAATTCTTATAATGGCATATGTGAACTATCTCTTCCAAGTTCATTTTGACTCATTCTGAGTCTCCAACAGACTTACATGGGTCTCTGCTCACTTAAGGCTCTGAGCTTATTTGTAGCTGAATAGACTAGGTTTATGTTTCACAGCTTCAGGGGTCCGCCTGGACTCAGAGAACCATTCATTTCTTCTTTCTTCAGTCATTCAACAAAAATGTAATGAACGTATATGCAAAGTAGATCCAAGTTTTGTGGAGCATGAGGCTTATAAAATTTTAGGGATCACTTTGAAAAAGAGAATACAAAATGACAATGTCTTGAAAAAATTCTGTTCAAGGCCAGGCACAGTGGCTCATGCCTGTAATCCCTGCACTTTGGGAAGCTGAGGCAGGTAGATCATCTGAGGTCAGGAGTTCTGATATCCAAGGGCAGTAGAAGACACATGTCTCAGCTCCAAGAGACAGAGTGCAGATTCACCCTTCCTCTGCCTTTTTGTTTTATCTAGGCCCCCAGCTGACTCGATATTGCCCGTGCACATTGAGAGTGGATCTTCCCCACACAGTTCATCAATTCGCAAGCCAATCTCCTCCAGAAATACCCTCACAGACATATCAAGAAATACTGCTGTACCAGCTAGCCAGGCATGCCTTAATCTGTTATACTGACGCCTTAAATTAAGTATCACA